ATCATGAAGGAAGGGGACCGACCCGACCCCAGGAAGGCGGCAGAGGCGTTGCACATGGCTATACAAAAAGTTCGCCAACAACCGAGAGTTCAGCTTACGGACTGGATTCCATTCGTTCACCTTGGAATTTAGTGATCATAATCTCGAGCTGACGCGTCGTAATCACGCGAATTGATGTTTATTCATTGGGATCTGTATTCATGAAATTCATTTTAGCTTCGTCTACACCAAACTGCTGTCTGAATAAATTATAGTAAAACGAAAGATCTAGATCATTGAGATCGTGTATCACAAAGAGCCACTGTGACGATGCTCTCACAGGCAGAAGAGCAAGTGACGGAGGACGTGCGTTCAGGGGCGTGATAGATCCTATCTTGTCCTAGGTCGTTTCACGTGAGTAGAGCCCTAGTCTTTCCATCAGCTACAACTTCACTTCAGAACGTGATACTGCCGTCGTGATACGACTGATACAGGGATCCGGCTTGAATATTGTATGCACTAACACCGCGATACTGAACCTGCGCCAGACCTGTCTTGTAAATCATCTTTTATCAGCGATACTATTCCATAAGGTACCGTTTTTCACCTTGTCGACTGGCCTTTCTCCGCGGCGTCGAAGTTGAAGGAGACGAGTATGAGTTATGTTCAAACGTTGACACGCTTTGGCTTCAGCTTCCGTGCCCACGGCTTATTGAGTTCAGTGAAATCCTTACTACATCCATTATCCAAACCTTTCCGAGGCGTCATGTCCGTTTCCGAAGCGGAGTCTCCCCACGAGAACCCCGACATAAGACAAATTTGGTGCAAGATCCATTTTTGGTGATATTTGAGGCAAGGTCAAGTGCAGAACGTCATCTCCGATGTGGTGGAACCGGGGGTACGTAGTGGTGGCCAGGTCGAAAGCTGTCGGATCCGAGCGGAGCTAGGGGAGAACCAAAGTGATTAGGAAAGCTGTCGTACTCGGCTCACTGGAACCTTTGGGTCTTACTACGACTTTGCCCCTTTTCGTGCCGTATTTATCCTACATGCTCACAATCACTGGTTGATACTAGCGGGTAGCAGGACACCGGTGCTAACTATAGTCTCTATTGAACCGCC